GCTGCTTAAGCAGGCTGTTTTAAAACGTTTAAAACAGCCTTCCTCAGCAGCTTTCCCACCACGTTTTCACCTGATGACGATTGCTTGTGTTGCGATCGAAGCGACGTGATATTTTCATCATTTTTTATTCACTTTATTTTCATTTTTTTATTATTCCATTGTTCTATCTACATGACTTTACCGAAAGACCCAAAGTATAAGAGAGTTTGCTGTCGTGTAAACTTAAAGCGGCCCCACACAGCCCCTCTCCTTCGCTTTGAGGCTTTCAAAGCGGCCGGCGCGGGGTCTTCGAGCGCGTGCCCCCTCGCACGGCGTCGAGCACCGGGGCGTGTGGCAGAGGAGGAGGAGGGCAGGTGGATGGAGGTAAATAGAAAAACCTGCCGCTAATGGGAGGCTGCTGTTCTAGAAGCGTTGCCAGCTGGCGCGTGGCCACATGCAATAGGTGAAAGCGAACTAAAAAAAACCTTCAAGTGTTTTTTAGACCTATTTTGGCCAATGCCCTCCGAGTTGAACCGTCCTAACTTTCAAGGCGAAATGTCCTTGCCAGTTAATGGGATAAGTGATGTTGTTGTGGTCGTCATAGAGCAACACGTGGAGACTGCCGATGTTATATTATACATTAACAGCGCGGTCGTGCCACTTAAAACACACAGGACTGGGTTTTGTGTGAATGGCAGCAAGGCTCTTATTTGAATATCAAGCAATGTGCTATTTCTACTCCTTAGGCAAGTACCTCGTGGATCGAGGATGGCTTGCTTCCACAGTGATTCTGTGCGTTCTCGACTGTCACCGGCGGGGAAGCTGGTAACTTAGCGAGTTGAATTTGTTTACGTGGAGTGTAGCGGTTAGTGCGCTGTACTGCGAACCTGGCCACCTGGGTGCGATTCCCGCTCACGGCCAACACCAAGTGACGATTATCCTGGGCCTCCCCTAGGTCGGCTCAGCCTCAAATAAATACCTGGTGAGATGTGTAAACATCGCCACTGAAGAGACAAAGGTGGTCGAGCGTGGTGCTGGCCACCCACCCCCTCGTGTGCCGTGCTGGTCTTCATAGGTGCTCGCTCACAGCACTTGCCCCTACAGTCTGTTAAGGCTATACAGGGGAATCTTCTTTTTGTCTTTTTGAACTTCTTTCGCACCGTGCGTAGCCAACCGTGCTTATCAGAGGTGAGTCGGTGGAGCTGTAAGCTCCCTCTTTCCTCGTGATTTAGCCGGCGAGACTCAAGAGTGCGGCAGTGCCGACCCGAGTGTTGCCTCCATCAGTCAGCGCGGTCTTCAGCCACACAGACTCCCCGTGTGTGTTGGTGTTGATGTTGGCAGTGCCGGATTACCCCAGTAGCAAAAGTAGCTACAAATGCTACGGAACCCGCACTTTCAAAAGCCCCGCGCTAAATGTTTCAAGCTATCAATTCCGGTTCAGTGATTCTGCACTTGCTCTATTACTATAGTACTATACTCTTTGTTTTTTTCGGTAAAGTCAAGTAGGTAAAAAATTTGAATAAATTAAATCACGACGTTTCGGGCGCAGCACAAGCGTCCTTCTTCATGAACTGGGTGTTTAAGGTTGGCGATTCGTCGTATTATCTGGCTGTATACCAAATGAAAAAATATAATTACTTTACTATGCAAGTAAAAAAATTGTGTTTTAATATGTACGTGTTTTTTTTTTTTATAACATATACTACAGGCCCCGCACTAGCTTAATCCGGCACTGGATGTTGGATTTGTTTTTCTTCAAAGGAGGCTGTAAGGACGTCCTTGTTTATCTTCCAATGAGATCGTTTGCCGTGGCAAAGTTCAGAGAAGAGATTTATGCTTTGGACGGCACCGATGCCTCTGACGTGCGGACGATGTGCCCTAACCAGCGATGTGGCCTAACCAGCGATGTGGCCTTACCAGCGATGTGGCCTAACCAGCGTGACTGCACGGCCGTGGCTGATTTCAGGACCTGAGTGCTAGGGCGGCTGGCCTGAGAGAGAGCGCTGATGTAGGTTCGTCATAATAATAATAGCTTTTTACCCTTTCTGGCAATAAAACAGGCGTTAAGATGTCCGAACACCAATAAGGTACATTTTGCAATGAATCAAGTCCGCAAAGACAATGCATCTATTATTAGATAATGTTTGTATGTATGTTCACCACAAGTTCTGCGTATAGTTAATGCACACGTGATTCCTTGCAAAATGTATCTACGTGGTGTTTGAACATCTCAAGACCTGTTTTATAGCCAGAAAGGGTAAATCTTATTCTCATTTTTTTCCATACTAGTTTCGTCTGTCCCGCCCAGCGAACTTTTTAATGTTTTCCTGATGCAGTGTCGATGGGCACTTCTCCACGGCTTTGAGGTGCCATGCATGCGTGAAGGATCAGTGGGAGATTTGTTGCGGCCATGAGTGGGAAGAAATCGAGTAACAGCCTCATACCATCAAGGATACTACCGCATTAATGGGTCCTGGGCCATAATCTCGTAAATCAAATGCATTATTTTACGGATATTTACGGGATAGCGCTACCACCATGGGCTACTGAAAATACCCATTGTGGTACCGTCCTTAGGATCTCACTTCCACGTCCCCAAACGTTGAGTGACCCGGACTGACCACCGGCGTGGTGAAGTATGGTCAAAGCGCCACGATGACCTGCACTTGACGTGGCAAAGCGAGGCCGTCATCCAGCAGCGGCGGCCTCAACGAAAGGGCGTTCGCGTGTCGACCCAAAGTTGTGCCCAGCCAAAAATACCCCCCCAAAAAAAAACCCGTAACGACACACGTACAAAAAAACAAACCAGGCACACAGAAACCAAATACACTCAAAGTGTAAGTTTAATAACTACGAAAAAGAAGCAAGTGTTACAATTAATACAAAAAAGCACGTGCCAAACGTGATAAGCATGAGGCGATGTATCTTGTGCTGCGAGTGCGTTGTGTTGCGTGGGCAAGCGGGGGCCCGAGTGTGCGGGGTCACCACTCAATGTCACGAAGCTCCGAGTAAACCCAGCGGTGCTGATCAAAAAATCATCGTTCCATCGAAGCGGTGTGCGAAATCACCTACCCCCACCCACCCACCCCACCATCCTCGATCGCCAATCCCATCGTTGTATCACGGCTATACGTTGATCGTTACAGAACACAGATCATGAATCCCCTAAACCGGTAGGTCTTAGCCCCCCCAGGGGGTGCACGCACTCCCTGGGGGTGCGAGATGCCCTTTCGGAGAGGGGGGGGGGGGGTGCGAGACACGGCCAGGTTTTTTTTTTAGAAGGTAAATCATGAAAAAAATTAAGCACGGGGCACCGTAAGTGGACCTACTTTGTTTCATCAACCCCGATATGTTTATTAACATTTTTTTGTAAAGATTGAGAACCAAATGGACTACCAAGGCTGCAGTAAAAGTTAAAGGCGCCACTGTGACCTTAACGTCTCGCACGCAGCGACTGGCCATGATCGTCTTCTCCTCTTCCTCCCCACCCTCACCCCACCACTCGGTCGCGATTGGCGAGGCGTGATCGTGTGGCCGACGCCATATATCAAAAATCGCGACACGATATGTTCACGAAATGGCGATTATCGCGATATGACTTCCGTCCTACCGCACACACCTCCCCTCCCCCCTCCACTTAAGCTCATCAGAACTGCATTCCGCATCTTGCGCCATTGTTGTTTTTAGCTCGCAGGCCCTCCGAATAATGTTTCGAATGTTCTTCAACCGGTTACCGGACCGTCACAGTCGAGAACGCGTAAAAGACGCTCGCGCCATCAGCCACACTGACATCAGTGAGTCACAGAGAAGCCATTTGCGGTTGCAGCTCGCTGACCCGCCCCGTAATGGACATCTGTGAAAAAGAGCTTCATTGCTCATCGGATTCCTACGGTCCAAGTATAGATTCTAATTCTGATTCATTAAAGCAAACATGAATATGATCCGTTCTAATACGACGGCATAGTGTGAATGTGATGATGTCATATTATTATTGATGTGGTGGCGTCATAGTATTATTATTAATGTGATGACATCATAGTATTATGAATATGATGACCTCATATTCGTATGAATATGATGACCTTATATTGATATTACCGTGCAGTCAATTTACTCCGAACGAAACGCGTTCTTAGAGTCACGAAAGCTCCAAATCATGTTTAAATTTAATGTCATCGTGTTTGTGATGTATTATTTGGAGAGAAAAAAAAGAATGTTTTTTTTGGTGTTTTTTTAGTTTTTTTTTTAATTGCAACGAATTATATGAATCGATGTCGGGAGCCAATAAAAATAGTTGTGACTTCAGCCAAATTTTGAATAATAAGAAGAATAGGAAAGAAAAATCGCGATGTCACCATATTTGAATGTGGGGGGGGGGGGGGAACGGGACTACGATTATCGTTCACCTAACATCGTACGTGGACCTAACATCCCTCCACATTTAGAAACATGCGTTGAGAGTATTTGGCTGCTATGAATTTCCACACGATAAAGGCACTTCGTTGAGCTATCATTTGTGGCCAGGTGACTTCTAAAAAAGAACTATACTGTACAGTATAGCTCAATTGGGCTTTACCTGGTAAAATAGACATCGGTGTTTTAGTTTAGGAGGGGAAGGAGCCCCTTACTGGTAATTAAGAATGATGTTCTTATTTCAGATGCGCTTCTGCGGCCGTCTGGAACGCTCTTCCGATATTAGGAAGCCACTGGAGATATGCCCCTTTAAATCAAGATTGAAAACTCATCTCTTCAAGAACCACTTTTTGATTCTAGATTTGAGGCTTTCGTGACTGCAAGGATCCATACTCTTTGGTTCTATTCGGTAAAGTCACGTAGGTAAAAAATAAAACAATAAAAAATAAAAAATCACGACGTTTCGGCCACAACACATGATGAAGGCCACTTCTGTTGTGGCCGAAACGTCGTGATTTTTTATTTTTTATTGTTTTATTTTTTACCTACGTAACTTTACCGAATAGAACCAAAGAGTATGGAACCACTTTTTGCGTCTAGTTTGTTGTCTTCCAGCGCCTCCGATTAGCACGGTTGGCTACGTACGGTGCGAAGGAAGTTCAACATACATACACATCGCACCATCTCCGTGTTGCGGCAAGCCCCAGTGAATCCCCTGTGAGCGTCCGGCCGCGCGCCCTCTCAGTCGTGGCCGCCGGCTGGGGGCGACTCGGCGCGACCCGGAGGCGAGGAGGCCTGCGGACCTCCCGGGCGCTGCTTCTTGTAGAACACTCTTTGATTCTGGAACCACGAGGTCACCTGGCCATCATCATCAACGACACGAGACAAACACACGCGGTCACGGAACGGTGTCGGGTGACGTCGGCAGCTGCGGCACGAACGGTCACCGGATTGCGCGGCGCTTTCAGACGCGCTTCTGCGGCCATCTGGAACGCTCTTCCCTTCCAATATTAGGAAGCCACTGGAGCTCTCCACTTTTAAATAATCTAGATAGAAAACTCATTTCTTTAGAACTGCCTTTTTGTGTTTAGTTTGTCCTTCCCGCACCTCCGATTCGCACGGTAGGCTACGTATGGTGCGGAATAAGTTCAACATTGATACAACGTAGACTCTCAGCTGCCTATATGGCAGCAGGTTTTTGTTTTACGTACGGTACGAAAGAAGTTCAACATACTGTACACACACAATGACCAACTCGCGCCACCAACAAATGCGGCCCTGTCCAGACCAGCAGCTCAACGGAACTGAATGTGCGACCATGTTTGTCGTGGTGACCGATGACTCAAAGAGTCTAGAAAACGTGACCGTGCCAACGACTCGTTTGAGTTGGTGGTCCAAAAGACAAAGAGCGACACGCTTTTTGATATTTTTGAGCACGTGGTTTGGACAAGGCCGACCGCTTTTGTACATGCAATGCGAATCTCTTTGTTGTTTAATCTCTTTAGGTGTGTTGTACATGCAATGCGAATCTCTTTGTTGTTAAATCTGTTTAGGTGTTGTGTACATGCAATGCGAATCTCTTTGTTGTTAAATCTGTTTAGGTGTTTTGTACATGCAATGCGAATCTCTTTGTTGTTAAATCTGTTTAGATGTTTTGTACATGCAATGCGAATCTCTTTGTTGTTAAATCTGTTTAGATGTTTTGTACATGCAATGCGAATCTCTTTGTTGTTAAATCTGTTTAGATGTTTTGTACATGCAATGCGAATCTCTTTGTTGTTAAATCTGTTTAGGTGTTTTGTACATGCAATGCGAATCTCTTTGTTGTTAAATCCGTTCTGCTTCTTTGGCCTGCGCTAACTGTTCTGCTGTAATTTACAGGGTGTGAATAGGCGGAGTTTGACTTCTAGATTTTGGGGGGTCGGCCTGCGGTTCGCTTTGTCCCACACGTAAGGAATCGCGTGCGCATATAATTAATGATGATTATTATAAACTACTGAAAATAAAATAAATCAATAAAAGTTACCAGTTTTGGGGGGAGGCTTGCCTCCCACCCCCCCCCCTCAAACTCCGCCGATGCACTGCCCCATGCTTAATTGAACGGGAGCGCTCTCCATCCCACACGATAGGCGGTGAGGCAGCCAGCGAGGGCGCCTGTGGTGGACGCCTCCACGACAGGAACAAAGCCATCAGCAATCCACGGCGCGAACATCGCCCACGTGGGTGGGGGGGGGGTGCGCTGGCTGCCCCGCCCGTGTTGCTTGGGCATTTGGAGGCTTGCCCCCTCTTTTCTCTCCGCCTGATGAAGACCGCTTGTGTTGCGATCGAAACGTCGTGGGGTATTTTTGCTTTTATTATTTTCAATTAATTTTTATTAAAAAAATTATTTTACTATTGTTATTGTGGGTTTTTTGCTTTTATTATTTGCAACTTATTATTTTAAAAAATATATTTTATTTTATTATTATTTTGATTTCTATCTACGTGACTTTACCTAAAGAACCAAGAATATGAATTCCAGCAGTCACGAAAGTTTTAAGTCAAGGAGTAGAACAATATAGGGTTATTGTGGATGGTATCTTATACTCTAGTGGGAGTGTCAGAACTTTTTTTTTAAATGAATCCATGGTGGACGGCGTATAGGGCGACCCGTAATCTCTCAATACCCCACTAGTTTATCATTAATGAGACCACGGAATTCTCAACAGCTTTTTGGCTGCTGGCCATCGAACAAAGGCGGTCACCGCATTGCGTGGCGCTTTCAGACGCGCTTCTGGGGCCGTCTGGAACCGCTTTCCCATTCCGACATTCGGAAGCCACTGGAGCTGTGCAATTTTAAAACTAGATTAAAAACTCATTTCTTTAAAACTGCTTTTTGTGTTTAGTTCGTTATCCTCCCCACGCAGCCACGATTAGCACGGTTGGCTTACGTACCGTGGGAACGAAGTTCAACATACATATGTAGTGACTATTCATACATGACAACAGAATAACTTTACATATCGAGAAACGGTGCGTGCAGCGTATTGAGATGCAGTCGCTCTCAGACTCATCAATATTAAACCAATTAAAAATCCCATTGTATCGTGCACACACAAAGCGCATTCCCTGCTTTACCGCTCTCACACCCCTTGAAGCCCACCACCCTCCTACCCCACGCCACACCCAACCCCCACGCCACACCCCACGCCACACCTCACCCCCACGCCACACCCCACCCCCACGCCACACCCCACCCCCACGCCACACCCAACCCCACGCCACACCCCACCCCCACGCCACACCCCACACCTCACCCCCACGCCACACCCCACCCCCACCCTCTTTAACCACACCGGACAATTAACACCCCCCCACCTCTCTCCACCCCGCGAATCCGCCCTCATTAGTAGCCGCAATTCATGGACGAATATGTAAGTGGCTTAACATTCAATCTTGACTGAAAGCTTTCAAGACTGCAGGAATTCATATTCTTTGGGTCTTTCGGTAAAGTCACGTAGATAGGTTCAAATAACCTATTAAAGAACCTATCTACGTGACTTTACCGAAAGACCCAAAGAATATGGCTTAACATTATTATGGATTAGGCAGAGTGTTTACTCTTAACCCAATACGGGAGCTGCGTCTGTTTGATTCGGACGAGTCCCGTGGTGTTTATCGACGTGGCTGTTGTTGGAACGGTGGTTGATGGGCCGTGAATACATTTACGCAGTCGCAGGTTTCTTCAAGGAATGGGCGTGGTGATGGTGGTGGGACCCTTTGCGATTTAAATGTCGACCTTTGGGGAAGGCGCGTGTGTATGCACGCACCGCATTTGCATGCCAAAGAGTTCTGCCGCGCTTCAACACCTGGATCATTAACATCGCAAGGCTGCAAGAGCGGGGGGAGCGACGGCTTTGCACTTACGCATCACTTCTTCCTCACCCGTACGCAGCCGTGCGTGGCAATCGGAGGTGCGGCTTAACGAGCCCTTTATCCAGCAGTGGATTGAGCCTAACTCCTACACCAAATTGTTAAAATGCGAGTGGATCGCTCTTCTCCAGCAGCGCAACGCGGTGGTGTTGCCGAAGCAGCAGCAATGGAACTGCCACGTGTGTTAATCACGCGCGTGGGGATTTACGAGACGCTCCCAATTTCAATTTCGATGTAATGCCTACACGTGACCTTTCCAGGTTACCCACCCACTTACAGGCACTCATTCCGCTCATTAAATACATTGACGTAAAGGTAACGTGTCGTATCTACGCTTAAACAAGTGCTGCTTGATAATGTCTGCAAAACCAATTAGCTGATGGGACCAAAACAGATGCATGTTCATGCGTGGAGACGAAACGGGGTTTTACTTCTGTTATACTGTGTATCATTAGTGCCGACTGTAGACAAATCTCAGCAAAGGGCCTCCTCTATCTCTGTTATCCCGCGATGCAGCTCTCATCCCGTAACGTCTCGCCTCCTGCCCGCGGCTATCTCTCACATTTGGGACTCCCTCCAGACCCCCATCGGGGGGGGTGTGAGGCGGGGTAACCAACCCCACCCACCCCCACCCTTGACCCCCGAACGCCCAACGGGCACAGCAGCAGCAGCAGGAGGCTCGGCTCTGTGCGGAGTGTGAATGGCTGGGGTGAGAAACGGCGATGGGGCGTGGAGATAGAGCACCAAGTCGAGAGGGATATATAGGCGCTAGGCTACGGTCAGGTTTGTAAGTAAAGGCGCAGCCCTGCAAGTGCTTGATAATTTCTACTGCAAGCTTGTAGACGGATGGGGGGGGGGGGTAATGAGTTCACCACAATAGCACGCAAGCACGGGGCATGCGCGCACCCCCAACGACAAAGATCCCCCGTGTAGCTTTAACAGGCTGTCAGGGCAAGTGCTTTTAGCGAGCACCTATGAAGCCTGGCACGGCACACGAGGGGTGGGTAGCCAGCACCACGCTTGGCCGCCTTTGTCTCTCTATTAGCGATGTTTACACGCCGCACCAGGTATTTATAAAATAATCTTTGATACCTACGTGACTTTACCGAAAGAACCAAAGAGTATGGATTCCTGCAGTCACGAAAGCTTCGAATCAAGATTGGATGAAAATAGCTGAATAAAAACGGGCGCGTCGCGTGGTGTGGTGGAGTGGGGAAGGGGGTAGGTGGGAGCGGTGGGGAAGGGGGGAGCGGTGGGGAAGGGGGGGGCGGTGGGGAAGGGGGGAGCGGTGGGGAAGGGGGGAGCGGTGGGGAAGGGTGGAGCGGTGGGGAAGGGGGGAGCGGTGGGGAAGGGGGGAGCGGTGGGGAAGGGGGGAGCGGTGGGGAAGGGGGGAGCGGTGGGGAAGGGGGGAGCGGTGGGGAAGGGGGGAGCGGTGGGGAAGGGAACCCTCAGGCCTCACCTGTTCTGGCGTGAGGCCGATGGTGGCCCCGAGGCTGGCCCTCTCCACGGCTCCCGGGCGCGGTGCGCGCGCGAAATGCCACTCGAGGGCGTCCAGCTGCTCCGGCGTGAAGCGCGGACGCTGTCGGCCTCGGCACCGCTTCGGCCTCCCCACCGCCTGGTGGCCTCGATCCGAGCCCGCGGAGTCCGCGGAGTCCGCGGCGCCGCCGTTGCCTTATTGGGAAGGGCGCACGTGGGACGACGGGTGGACGCGGCGGTGAAACTTCCACACTCTCAAAACTAAAAACATCTGAATATTTATTCATTCTGGAGGAAGCCGATGAGCTACGACGTTCTTTTTATGTTCACACGCGGATATCGACTCGTGTGGTGGGTGCCAGTCCCTTTAATGGAAACCCCCTCGGTTGCCCCCTCGGTTGCCCCCTCGGAGACCATAGCATGAACAACATTCCACCCAGATGAGCCACGACCGTCTAACTACTCACGGGGCTCACGGTTGGGGTGTGATTTGCGCTATGATACTTGATTTTCGCTGAATGTTCGAAATTAACCCACACGCGGGCACAATGAGGGGACACGAGGCAGTTCCTGCACACACACGCGCGTGGGTGTGTACGAGAAGACATTTGTGTTGATATGATTTACGGACGGCGAATGAGTGTGCATCAAAAACAAGGGAAACCACTTTCCTTGCGCTTTCGAACATGCGATCGTCTTTGCAAGCCATATTGTCCCATAAATGTTTGAATGAATGTGTAGGTACATGTGTGCTCTTGACGACTTACCAGAAGCTACAGCTGCGCTTTCCAACAGTGTCCCAGCGGCAGCAACAGCAGCGTGCCGCTGCTGCAGATAGTGCCACGGAAAAGGTAGAGGAGCCGGTGGCCCCATCAAGGGATACGCGCGCACATAGACGAGATCGCCGGACAGCAGCGGGTGAGGAGGCAGGAGGACGCGACTCGCCGCGGGCCACGGGAAGACCACGGGGCCCTGTAGCGGCGAGGTCACGGGCCTCGGGGGACCCACGGGGCCTACTGGGCCCGCGCCCTGCTCCGCGTCGTCCGCGAGCAGCGCCTCGATGGTGAAGGGCCTCTTGGGGTGGTTGTAGCACAGCGGGTGCGTCAGATAGGAGCCTCCGTAGATATTCATGGTGGAGGTGAGGTCTAGAATAATCACCGTGCCGACGAGCCGCTCGACTAAAGACGCTTTGGCCTGGCGTGTGACCCATCCCCTTTTAAAACTTACGGACCGCACGGCGCAATATTTACATGCAACTCAAATGCAAATGGGGGGGGGGGGGGATCGCTTGCGAAGAGGGCTTCGCGCACCGATTGTGTTGTGTGAACGCTAAAGATAAGGGTGGGCAATGCGCGCATGAATAGCCCGGCCAACGAACTCTCGCGGGCTATTGTCACGGCTTGGAACTTTTCAAAGTGACCATTATTTGAACGTCGTCGTAACTCTGTCGATCAACTGCTGGATGAGAGGCCTTCCCGAGTCACCGCTCACGACCCCGCGATGTTATCAATCCACCTAGCGCCTAAAGAAAAGTAAATGGGATGTCTCATTTACTTCTTTTTTTACAGTTTGAGTTTAATTTATCTTTCATCGTCTCCCCAAAAGTTCGGCATGAAGACAATTTAAATTACGGTAGCGATATGTTAACTACCTTGCCTAGTTCTAGATTTGAAGCTTTCGTGACTGCAAGGATTCATACTCTTTGTTTTTTTCGGTGACTTGTAAGGGTTTAGTGGCCACAGTACAAATTGGTGTGCAGAGACGGGCATAATGATTGTGTACAACAACATTCATGCGGTGGGTTCTGGAATATATCTGCGCAGTTGCGACTGCCAAGCAGTTGCGACTGCCGCAATATCAGCAGCAACAATGGTTACAGGAATATCTTCATCATCATCTGGAGCACCATTCCCATACCTGTCAACCCATACGGTGTACCCCGTATTCTTGTACGGGGAAATTTAGTTTTCACGTTCATACAGCGTACAGTCGTTTTAATACGGGATAAAAAAAAATGTTGTCTGTTTGTGTTTCTCCATTGTGATTGGACTTTGTAGGATGATAGTTGAGATGTATAAGGGAACGAGGTGACCAATAAGGCCTGAATTGGTCTGAAATAAGGTAGGGCACTGATAAGGGGTTGATAGGTAGGCATTGCCTCAATTTAAACACCCATGTATAATTGTAATCGATCACCATCACTGTAAATATACTCACAGAATTACATTCACAACCCGAGTAACACAAAGCCCTGTGGATGCTTGGGGCCTAATCCTTGCGTCGACACATTTTGATTAAAATTTTTGCATGTTGGCAATTCGCAAGCGGTTGATTTATCACGAACCCCCAGCCATTACGTCTCCGCACCACGTGATTTCACACAACACGGAACGCGCAGCGATGTTGCTGCCGTTTTAGCTGCGGCTCTTGCTTGCGCACGCGTGCAGTATCATGGGCCCTCTGCCGCCCCTACCTACTGATCTTTACTTAACACCATGAATTCACAGCACGTCGCTCTTTAAATGTAAATCGGGGAGCGCGCGGCGACGCAGCGATATGCGCATTTACCCGACGAACCTCCCCGGCCTACGTTTGATGACCATATCACGTGCACATTGGCGTGGCCAGAAGGCGGTTACAAGAGTGGATTCGTGACTATATCTGTGCGGAGATTAGACGAGCAACTCTTGAGCGTTGAAACAGGGGGGGGAGGGGAGGGGCGAATTGGAGAGACGAAGGGTAACATTTTACGATTTTTTTATCGGGGCCCATGTCGACCATGGCTACGCCAAGGTGGGGAAGGGCGAGGCGGAGGGGGGCGGAGCGGGTTAGAGGCCCCCCCCCCTGTTGATGGGGGGTTGCGAGGATTGGGGCTGTGAGGAGGACGTCTTCTTGGACCGGAAGGGAAATCATGTTCCTGACCAGAACTCTACTCTTTGGTTCTTTCGGTAAAGTCACGTAGGTATAAAATAAATTAAATCACGACAATTGTTGATTGCTGTGGTTGTCCCACCTGATCACGGACGCTTGTGTTGCGCCCGAAACGTGGTGATTTAATTTATTTTATTTGATACCTTACGTGACTTTACCAAAAGAACCAAAGAGTATGGGTCCCTGCAGTCACGAAAACTTCAAATCAAGATTGTTCTTAACCAGGTTTAGATGATTTTGCTGCTGTGTCCACATGATAAGCTATCATTTGTGTCCAGGTCGCTTTTGAAAAATAAGTTAATAGCTGGATGGGCTTGATCTGGTAAGATTAAAAAACGTTTATTTGTATGTATTTTTAAGTTATTTGTTTACCTTTCCTACACTTTGCACTCCTATCGTGTTTTTGTACTGTTTCTTGGTGTAACGTTCTGACCCGCTCCCACTGGACATATGTGAAAAAGAGCTTTATAGCTCATCGGATTCCTCCAGTCTAAATACAGATTATGATAATGATGTGGCACGGTCCGGGCAGTGGGGGTCTCGATTCAGATTTCACGGCCAGCACCACGACGAGTGGTGAGCTGTCAGCTGCCTCGCCCGTTTTGCGGGTCGACGATTCGATCCCGACCCCTGCATATTTGGAGTTTGCACGTTCTCCCCGAAATTGCGTGCATTTTTCTCCGGGTCCTCCGGTTTTTCCCTCCACCTTCAGAAACTTGAGTGTAGAGTACAACATTTGGCTGCCATACATTTCCACGCGATAGGCCAATTCGTTGAGCTATCATTTGTGGCCAGGTCGTTTTTGTAAAAAAATAATCAAAAGAGCTCAGTGAGCTTTACCGAGTAAAATAAAAGTAAAAAGTTAAGTTCAGTTTTACTTTTGTATTTCCCATCATGCAATTAGTAGCATGCACAGCGATTGCTTCTTACCGACGGAGTCCATGCAGCGCTTCTACGGTGCCATCAAGAGCTCAACACAAGCGTCGACAGGAGGGCTCTAAAATGGATAAAACTTAGGTAAAAAAATAACACATCGGGGTTGCGGGTGAGGGACCACAGACTGAACAGCTTTTTGCGTTCAGTTTGTTGTCTTTCTCCCTCGCCCACTCCGAGGAGCACGGTTGGCTCTGTCCGATGCGAAATGTGTGCAGCACCCACACGTACATAAATGCATGCGTTTCGCTAAAGGGTCGCGTGTCGGTCAATTATCATCACACGCGCACGCACGAGTGTTCGATCGCGGAGCTCCTGTGAAGTTGGGCACAGGTCCGCTTCAACGTGTTCTCTCGGCATACGCCCGTACGTTGGCACCGTTTTGAAGAAAAAAAAAGTTCAGGTCGATCCAAAGGGTGATTTGAAGCTTTCGTGACTGCAGGAATCCATACCCTATGGTTCTTTCGGTAAAGTCACGTAGGTAGACATAAAATGAAATAAATCACGACGTTTCGATCGCAACACAAGCGATCCAAACGTCGTGATTTATTTGATTTTATTTCTACCTACGTGACTTTACCGATTATCACTTGTGCTGCGCTCGAAACGTCGTGATTTATTTTATTTTATTTCTACCTACGTGACTTTACCGAAAGAACCAATGCGTATCGATCCGAAAGGGTTTGGCGAAGCGGCGTCACGTCTGCTCTTCGGCAAGCTCCAGGCGGCTGGAGTTAATTATCGCCCCCACTTTGACGTGCGCGTGTTGTTGAACGGGAGTCGTGGCGAAGTGTTTTGTGCACTTCCCCATACACCCGGCGGTGACTTGAAAGAGTTTATTGGCCACAGTACACATTGGTGTGCAAGGACGGACGTAGTGATTGTGTACAACAACATTCATGCCGTGGGTTCTGGAATATATCTGCGGAGTTGCGACTGCCACACAGTCGGAAATGCCCTCGCCTCGGCATTGTCTTCTTCGCTTTCAGAGTCAGCAGGCCGCAATATCAGCAGCAACAATGGCTACAGGAATATCTTCATCATCATCTGGAGCACCATTCCCATACCTGTCAACCCATACGGTTTACCCCGTGTTCTTGTATAGGGAGATTGAGTTTTCACGTTCATACGGTGTAGTCGTTTTAATACGGTAAAAATAAAATGTCTATTTGTTTGTGTTTCTCCCTTGTGATGGGACTTTGTAGGATGAATGTTGAGATGTATAAGGGAACGAGGTGACCAATAAGGCCTGAATTGGTCTGAAATAAGGTAGGGCACTGATAAGGGGTTGATAGGTATGCATTGCCTCAATATAAACGCCCATGTATAATTGTAATCGATCACCATCACTGTAAATATACTCAAAATTACATTCACAACCCGAGTAACACAGAGCCCCGTGGATGCTTGGGGCCTAATCCTTGCGTCGACACATTTTGATTTAACATTTTTTTGCTTGTTGGCAATTCGCAAGCGGTTGCTTTAGCACGAACCCCCAGCCATTACGTCTCCGCACCACGTGATTTCACACAACACGGAACGCGCAGCGATGTTACTGCCGTTTTAGCTGCGGCTCTTGCTTGCGCACGCGTGCAGTATCATGGGCCCTCTGCCGCCCCTACCTACTGATCTTTACTTAACACCATGAATTCACAGCCCGTCGCTCTTTAAATGCAAATCGGGGAGCGCGCGGCGACGCAGCGATATGCGCATTTACCCGACGAACCTCCCCGGCCTACGTTTGATGACCATATCACGTGCACATTGGCGTGGCCAGAAGGCGGTTACAAGAGTGTATTCGTGACTATATCTGTGCGGAGATTAGACGAGCAACTCTTGAGCGGTGAAACAGGGGGGGGGGGGGGATTGGAGAGTCGAAGGGCCACATTTCATGAATTTCACTCGGGGCCCACGCCACGGTGGGAGGGGCGAGGCGGAGGGGGTTAGAGGGCCACCTGGTGATGGCGGATCGCGAGGACTGTGCGTGTGACAGAGGACGTCTTCTTGGAGTGGAAGGGAAATAATGTTCCTTACGAGGTTTAGATGATTAAGATTATGTTGCTGCTGTTCACGTGGTAAGCCACTTTATTGAGCTATCATTTGTGTCCAGGTCGCTTCTGAAAAGAAGCTATATAGCTCAGTGGGCTTTACCTGGTAAAATAAAAGTTATTTTTTTGTTATGGTGCAAGTTCATAACTTCCCCTTATACAGAAAGGCACGAGTCAAAATACACTCAGCACAAAAGCAGACGTTTATAAATTATCTGAGAATAATCCCAAACGCGTACATCATTGCAAGCCAATTATATTCGAACGTGTCCAAAAATATGAATCTTTTTTTACGCACGAGTCAGAATGACAACAGAGCCGTGTGG